CATGTGTGTACTACTGTTCAGATAATATTTATGTACGACATAGGGACACACCCCCTTTTATTTGGCTCTTCAATACAACGTTAATTTTTTGGGCAGTTGATATTGATTAGAGATTCAAGGGACAAAAATTTTACTTTCTCACGTATTACTCATTCAATATTCCTTTCTAAATTTTGACATGTCAATATTGCCATAACGTTTACTTTGAATTCTTTTTTTGGATTTGTCCCTTACATACTGGGCTGCATGTGCCACCTGAATTATTAAAAATTTGCCATTGAGATGAGTTATAAAATAATTCATTAAACACCATAAAAATTGCTTACAACAGTTTCCAGGATATTTGTGCTCCTGAGACTTCTATTTTTTCCTATAAATAAATTTATCTTCTATTTGATTGATCTCCTACCTCATACGACATTGAATTCATATTGCTATCAATACAATTTTATAAGGTAGTACTATTTATCTGACATGGGGGAGTGTATAACAACAATACCAACAAATACAACGAAACTCATAAAACCGGTATACTATAGTTATTAAATCAGAAGTCTATTCATCTCAATCTCAAAACAACCGGCGATCAAAGTCCAATACTCTCAAAAGCAAAACAAAACAAACAAACAATATGGCCCAAATAGTCTATGATGCAGCCATCAACAACCACCACAACGCCTTGAGGAGGCAAATACCATCAGCAACAACAGTGTCAAGAAAAATACCAACAACGGCTTGGAGTATATAGTTCGCATGGCAAATGGCCAAAACTTTTAGAGAAAAAGAGAATGAGAAAGAGAATACAATAGAGTCTGAGTAAACTGTTGTTATTATGAGGCTGTGAGAAATAAAATCGGTATTTTGGGGGCGAAAGATTTTTTTAAAGAATTTAAAAAAAAAAAAGTCCGCTGAAAACATTAAAACCTGGAAATTTTTCGAAATCTTGAATTCGTAAAGGCTGCAGATTCAAATCCATCCAATCAAAATTTTCTCTGGATGCGCAATAACAAATTCTCCATACAATTAAGGTCCTAAAAAAGCTATCTATGAATGAAAAGTACTTTCTAGTATAGAATTTGAAAAGGACTTCTCTCCATGGAAGACAAAGAGTTTTTCTCTTTGGTGGAAGGCCTATAGAACATTAGTTCTTTATGAAAGACTAACAACCGGTTTTTTTACGTTAGGAAGACCCTTCTTGCTATGGAATGCCCACAGAAAGTGTAATCTCTATAAAAGATCTATAGATGGTATTCTCTCTGGGGATGGCCTATTGAATGTATATTGTACAAGGAAGGCCTTTTGATGGTTTTCTCAACATCGAAGACCTATTGAAGACAATCTCTCTACGGATTTCTAGTTCCTCCATCTACAAACGGTCTTTATAAAGTCTTTTTTCTAGCGAAAGCCTGTATAAAGTTGTCTTTTTAGGGAAAGGGTGATATAAAGTTTTCTCTACGAAAATGTCTACAGAAGGACTCCCCTCTATAGATGATCTATAGATGGTATACTTTCTATGGAAGACCTTTTAGGTCTTCTATAGATTCTTAAATACAGAGAATATTGTCTTTAGATCTTTTATTGAAGATTGGAGATCTTTAGGAGTTATTTTAGCTACAGTAGCCCTTTGCAAGGGAAGATCTGTAGAGAGTGTTCTTATATGGAGTAGCTGTGGGAGATCTCCAAAAAATATTTTTCCTATGTTAGACAAACAGAAGATTTTCTCTCTATGGAGAACCAAAAGAAGATCCTTTCTAAACGGAAGATCTAAACATGATCTTCTCGCTATGGAAGACCTATTGGAGGTATCATATGTACGGAGGCCGTATTAAATGTCTTCAATGTCTTCTGTAGACATTTGAAATTATACTCACCACAGATGGGCTATAAAAGGATTTCTTCCTATCGAATGCCTCCGGAAGCTCTATGGGATATATTTACACGGAATTCTTTGTATTGAAGACATGTTGAAAGATTTCTCTCTATTAAAAATGTATAGAAGTTCTTCTATCCACAGAGGCCATTTGTAAAATCTTCTTATGGAGGACTTGTAGAAGACCTTCAGAAATTATTTCCACATACAGGACACGAATGGAATATCTTCTCTAACGGAAGAGCTATAGAAGGTCTTTTCTGTATGGAAGACTTATTAAAGTTATGGTATGGTATGTAAGAAAGACATTTTCGAAGTCTTCTATCTATGAAAGACCTATTAAAGTTATTCCCTTTACGGAAAACATATGGAAGGACGGCTATATATTTAAGATCTCTAGAGGTTCTAATATCTACAGAAGGAAATTCGGAGGTCTTCGGACTAAGAAAACCTATAGAAAGTTTTTGCCCTATGTAGTATTTATTAAAGACCTACACAAATATTTTCTGTATAGAAGATCAACAGGAGGTCTTGTCTTCAGGGAGGAGCTACAGAAGGTTTTCTCACTTTGGAATGCCTGTAGAAAGTATCTCCATATTGAACATCTAAAGACAGTATTTTCTCTATGGGAGACCTCAAAAGATACTAGAACTTTAAGGTCTTCCATAGAGAGTAAAAAAAGCATAGCTGCGGTATTCTATCCATTAAACACCTATAGAAGGACTTCTCTCAAAGGATGACACATTAATGATCATCTTTCTATTAAAAAAATTATACATTGTCCTCTTTCTACGTAAAGCCTATAAAAGGTCTTTTCTTTTTTTTCTTTTCTATGGAAGACTAAATAGAAGGAAGGACCTATAGAAATGTTTCCGTTTATAAAATACCCAAAGGCCGGCAGCAGCTCTTTTCTCAGTGTAAAACCGATAAAAGGTCTTCCTGCCACGGGCCTATACAAATTCTTCTATCTGTGGAATGCCTTTCAATGATCTGCTATCTCTGGAAACCCATAAAAAGTCCCTTCTTTACTATTCTCTCTGTGGAAGTTCGTCTTTCATAGTGTTAGGACCTATAGAATCCCTTTTCTCCGCGGAAGACATATTGAAGTTTCTCTCTCTATTAAAGATTTATGAAAGTCCTTCAATCTGCGGAAGGTCAATAGGTACAGGTCTCTGAAAAAAACTAAAAAAAGGGTGGGAAACCAACGGGAATAAGTTATTTTTCCCATGACAGACCAATAGAAGTTCTCCTACGTATGTATGTAAGACGTAGATATGTTTTCTTTCTAGGGAAGGTCAAAAAAGGACTTCTGTGTATAGGAATAGAACGCCTCTCTTTAAAAGGGCATATGGAAGACCTACCGAAAATATATTATCTATGGAAAACCTATACAATACCTTAACTATGTAAAAGGTTTATTTAAGTTCTTAGAAGGTCTCTCAATAAGACATATATTTTAGGCATCATCCGTATTGAAGGCCTATTAATTATGGAAGGCCGTCTTCCTTGTAAAATGGTATTCTCTCTATGAAAGCCTTATGAATGCCTTCTCCATACTATTCTAGGGGACTTACAAGACAATATAACAAATTAACAAGCTGTAAGTTCAGCCGGGCCGAACTTTGAATACCCACCACCATTTGGAACGAATTTGGCAATTCTCAAAAACAATAGAATCAGGTAAAAATTCTGTTCAAATCTTAAAAAGACCAAACGTAGCTCATTAGGGTCTATACGACGACATGGACCTGCATAGGTAATTTTTGTCATAAGCCATTACAATATTCAAATGCGAAACTTAAAAAAAAAAATCGGCGAATAATGTAGCTAAAATCATCAAAATACCGAATATCGGGAGGTACCCTTATATGGGGGCTATACGAAGACGTGGACCTGCACAGACAATTTCCTGTCTTAGGCTGTAGCATCCATTTCAAACTTCAAATACCAAATTTGAAGCAATTCCGATGAATATTGTAGCAAAAATCATCAAAATACCGCATATCCGGAGGTACCCTTATATGGGGCTATCCAAAAACGTGGACCTACATGGCCCAATACCGAAAGTCCTGCAGACATAATATACATTTGAGTAAAATTTTATCAATCTACTTCAATTCGTTCGGAAGCTAGAGTGATTTCCGGACAGACGGACGAACATCGCTAAATCGACATAGTATTATATGCTGTGGGGACTAAAATGTATACTTCGAGGTGTTACAAACGGAATAACAAACTTAATATACCCTCCATACTGTGATGGAGGGTATACAAATTCCCAGCGACAATCGACCACACATAATATGGAGGAAGATTTTTCAGGGAATTGTCTTTTTTGTACAGGTAGGTGCAGTTCGAACATGAGCTATATCGGTCAAAATTTTCGTATAGGCCCCATATAATGGTATCTCTCCACATTCGGTATTTTGACGGTTTTGCCCACAGTTTCTATCGAAATTGGTTAACATCCAGTATTTGAAGTTCATAATAGGTTCTATCTACTTTGGCAGAATATTTACAGTCAATTTCATAGGTTTTTTTTTAATTCTAAGTTTAGACTTTCTATGTTCTTCTAATCCTGTAGCAGAACAATTTCTGTAGCCTTTTTTTCTTTTTTTGGTTGCACACGAAATAGCCAATAAAAAATCCTATTAATACTTTTCCTATCTGTATTCTAATGATAGAAACACGAAACAAACAAAATGTTAATCAGTACAAAGGCCATAGTTATAATATATTGGCAACATACTGTATAGTATTTTCAAAAAAAACTCTTTATAAAAATTGAGATAAGCAACGGAAAATAAACAAAAACTGTCTCATGTTTTCTTAAAAACTCACGAGATGCAGAAAAGTACGAGAGAGAGAGAGGCGAGAAAACTCTCCCAAGTCACATATATAAATAAGGCACGCGACGTTATACCGGTTAGTACAGGTAGCGGTGTTCGATGTAAACATCCGCTTGATTGTTGTGAAGATATAAATGGTTTCAGTGTCAATTTTATAACCATAACATAAAGGCGATGTAAACGGGAACCGGTTGTCTAATGATTGTTTTATAATAGATATAAAATCCCAGTTGTAAAAGTTATTACCACCAAAAAAATAGGAAAGTGTTAAAAATATAAAAATGGATTTATTAACAATCAACAGTTTATCGTTGATGGGCCTTGCCGTATTGGGCCTATTTCTGCGCTACCTAACAACAATTTTAGAATTTATCCGTTTGATAAAATGGTCATCAACCGTGCCAGGACCATCAATTGGTGAACTAATGGAAAATGCGAAAAAAGGACGTAAGTGTTGCCAAGCGTAAGATTGAGTGAGGAAAAAACGAACAGAATAAAATATATATTGTGCGGAAGATAATGATTGCATTATGGACTTTTTATCAGCTTTAAGATTAGCTATGCAGTAGATAATGACGTCCACAGAAAAAAAAAAACGGTTTAATAATAAGATGACTAAGGAGACTGACGGAGATAAAAGGGAAAGAAACATGATAATGAGCAAAAGTAATTACTGATTTAATCAATTGACCAATAAGTGCGGATGACCTTAAACAACATAGCGTTAAATCAAAAATGTAATATTGTTAAGGACATGAAATTAAATGCTGACAATTTATAAACATATTTGAAAAATATTATAAAAAATCGCAAATATGTGTTTGACATACCCTTAATTAGATTGTTAAAACCCGAAAAAATATTCCTTCAAAATTATAGACGTATATTTTTGATTAATTTAATTTTTGATTATTAATTTATTGAAGTCTCGTAAAAAAATTTCAACGGTCTTTGGAAAAATGCTCTGAGATATTCAAGATAGTTCTCCTAAAAGTAGTCTTACAAAAATACTTATAGCTTTGATGGGACTGTAAAAAATAATTAAAACATACCATCCACACTTAAAATCCATTGAAATTAGTTTAAAAGTATCTGTTGGGTTTGGCGACAGATTTATATCATCAGCCACCGTTTGTTTATTTGTTTTGATTATCCAAACTGTTAATCCTTTATGAGGGTGGTTCAAAAGGAGTGGGTCAATGTTTTAATTTCGTATCTGACCTAAGTCAGCTATAAATGTACCAGATTTAGAATATATAGACTAATTCATTCACCTTTAAATGATAAATGAAATTATTTTTGGAAAATTAAGAAATTTGCATGAGGTACCAGATATGGAGGACCGAAATATTCCACTTTATCTAATACTAAAACAATAGTAGACTGAGCATCTAACATTTCTTTCCAAGTTTATGCGAATAATTAATCAAAATTTAAACCTATGGTGGGGGAGGTACCAGAAGGAGTGAGCCGGTGAATAATATATTCACATCAGATCTAAGGTTACTAAATAAATAGCTGACTTGTTTCGCAAATTATAAGAGATATAAATATTGAAAATTTTGACCCTTTGTTGAGGAGATACAAGAGGGGATGAGCCCGTATCTATCACCATTAAATCAAATCTTGTGTTAAAAGAAATATTGGGATGTATAAAATTTGAAGGGAATCGGATTCTTACTACGATTTAATAAGATTTTTAGTTACTCTAAAATTTAACTCTATGTGGGGGAGGTACCAGAAGCAGTGGTCCGATATATTATATCTTCACGCCAGGTCTTATGTTAGCAGAAATATTGGGATGTACCATGTTTGAAAATAATCTGATGCTCATTTCGAGTTTCAAGTGCTTCAAACAGTGGTCTGATATATTTAATTTCACGAAATCTGATATATTTCATTGTCGATAGAAATACTGTGAAGTGCGAAAATTGAAGAGAATCGGATGCTTATTTTACAAATTATAAGATAAATTATTATTCAAAACGTTTCCCTTTTCTGGGGGAGGTACCAAAAGAAGCAGTCTCATATATTCTATCTTCTCACCAGATTGTCTGTTGAAAGATATTTGCGGTGCGCCGAGTTTAAATGTAATCGGATGCTTATTCCAGAAGGATTGGTCCGATATACTCCATCTTCACACAATCTCTTGTTTTTGTTATAATTATTCAAAATTTTGACCCTTTGTGTGGGAGGTACTTGATGGAGTGGACAGATATTATTAATTTTCAGACCTAAGCTAGCACTGGGAAAAATATCTGGATTTGCATAGGTTGAAGAAAATTTGACGATTTTGATAGATTTTGAAAATGGCTTGTTTATAGCCCTAATGTAGCTTGGAGCTGTGGTAGTCATTTACTCTTTAGCTGTTATGGATCAGACAATAATCTTAGACAATTTTCGGTTTTTTCAGGGATTGCTCTGCGAGTTTCATGTGCCAAATTTGTAAGAATGTTGCTGAGATCAATAAAATTCGAAATTTCTGGCAATGTTCGGCTCCCAGACGGAGATCTCATTACAAACTATAAATGCAGAATTTTGAACAAATCCGTTAGAAAAGAAGATTGTAGAAAAACGTAGATCTATATAAACAGTTTTCACCGAAAATAGAAGCTATTGCGAACTTTTAATGCCACATTTTAAAACAATCCAATAACAAATTTCGAGGAGGTGCCATGATATTGGGGCTACACGAAACTTGAACTGCCTTTCTATCAGAAATTGTCCAAAGATAGCTTGACAGCAATAGATGGACATCGAAATCAAATTAGAATTAGAATGATCAATCGTATATAAGCTTTATAGGGTCTAATGTGATTAGACCCTAGGATTTACAAACGGACTGGCAAAGTCAACTTTCCCTCCATAGTATGATTGCGGGTATAAAAAATATTCTGTTAGATCTTAAAAAATAGTATAAAGGTAAATTTTCGACTATTGTAAATAGTTCTTCCTTAAAACCCCACTGAGTTTTTCTCAGAGGCTGAGGTAAGCTGATTCGTTGCCAGTCAAATAATTTACTTCACATCAAGGATCATCCGAATATGCTAGATTTCGAACGAGTTTTGCTCCTATTTGAACGCTTTTGTTCTAATTCGAGTTTTACTATATACCTTAACATTTGCTACAACAGTTCATGTTACGACATTTTATACCCTCAGCTATATGGCTACAGAGGGTATACAGGTTGAGATAAAAAAACTGCAACAAAGTCAAACGCCATAATTTTTACATTTTTTTTTTTAAATTTTATTAACTAAAAGCAAAAAATGTCGGATAAAACATCAAATTTTAGAATACGTTTAGATTTGTTCGATTTGGTCACCTTTGGTACGAATTATGGCCTTCAAACGGCCAACGAAACCGTCACACGCTGCCCAAATGTAGCTCTGCGGTATTTTGGCCCGTTCCCGGCGAAGCGCTTGCGTGAGGTGATCGACACTTTGTTATTTCTTAGTGCCAACCTTGCTTTCCAAAATACTCCAGACAAAATAGTCCAACGGATTGGTATCCGGAGATTTTGTTGGCCATTCTTGGGTGGTGGAAATTAAGCGAGGAACCTCATTTTGTAACCATTTTTGGGTGGCGCGTGCTAAGTGCGATGGTGTTGAGTCCTGTTGGAGTGTCCAAGGTCTGCGGCCAAAATGTTTGCGAGCCCAAGGCTTTAAAACACCCTCCAATATTTTTGCGATAACATTCGGCATATATTCTGATATATATTCTAATACCACGGTTATCACCATGGCCGGCGCTTAAGTTCTGGTGGCCAACTGAAAATGTACATTTTTAGCTAACCTCTTTGGCAAAAAACACCATCATTTTGTTTGTTTACAAACTGCTGGACAACGAATGTTTTCTCATCGGAGCAGAGAAAACCAAATTCGGCAGTTCACCACTTTCGGCAAAGCGAAGCAACTCTTTAGCTCATTTGAGTCTATTTTCGTTTTGCTGCGGTGTAAGTTCTTGCACTTTTTGGAATTTCAATGACTTTACCCCAAGCTCATTTTTCAATATTTGCCGAATGGAATATTGCGATAGGTTTAGCTCACGAGCCATTTTTCGGCCACTGCGACGAGGGTTTCGATCAAGTCGCTTCGTTACTTTTCGAACCATTTTTTGCTGATGTTGTTGTTTTCATCCGTCCGCTTCCTTGACGTCGAGTTACGCTACCATTATCACGGCAGCTAGCGATGGTACGAGACACAAAAGATTTATTTACATTTTAGTTCTGGAGTGCTCTAACGATAGCCAATTGTGGTTTTCCAGACAAATATAAAGAAATCGCAACTATCACGCTTGAATTCCATCACGAATAACTTTTTTCTGGAAAATTCATATCGAAATGCTTTTGTACGCTTGTGAAAAATATAATGAGCTGTCACTGGAATTACAGTCTGTCACAGCAGTCTGAAGTTGGTTCGAGTTTTTTCATCTCACCCTGTATATTATAACTGTACGAAAAGTACATATGGTAATAATTTTGCGATTGGATCTTAGGATAGAGCTGGAATTCTGAAATTTGATATGGAGGCCGCTGTTAGTATATAAATTTTTGAGAATCTGCCACATCCTACACACAAAGGCCTTCTCGTTTTGGCAACGCACCAACCCCTTCTTCAAATACACCGAGCCGGGACGTGAACGTGATGCTTGCCTTAGGATACTACACGACGAGACGAATCGTGTCATCAAACTACGACGCAAAATGCTCGAAGATGCCAAGATACAAAAGATGGCCGACACGGAAAATCTGCTCGACAATATTGGAAAGAAAAAACGTTTTGCCTTCCTCGATATGTTGTTGATATCCCAAATGGAGGGGGTGGATCTGACAGATCGTGAAATACGCGAAGAGGTTGATACCTTTATGTTTGAGGGTCACGACACAACAAGTTCGGCAATTGGTTTTGCCATCTATCTGCTGTCACAGCATCCCGAGGTACAGCAGGAGGCCTATGAGGAATGTATGATTTTGGAGGGCAATGAGAAGGAGAATATGCCATATTTGGAAGCGGTAATCAAGGAGACGCTGCGTTTATATCCCTCGGTGCCGACATATGCTCGCTACATTACCGAAGATCTGCAAGTTGGCAAATTAACCTTGCCCAAGGGTTCGAATATCAGTATTATGACTTATTTGACACAACGTGATGAAAGATATTTCCCCGAACCGGAGAAGTTTGATCCCCAAAGATTTTTGCAAAAGGACAAGGAACAACATCCCTTCAGTTTTGTGGCATTTAGTGCGGGGCCACGTAATTGTATTGGTAAGTGAGAAAAACAAATAAAAAATGCAAAACAAATCGTTGGATTTGAAAAAGAATTTTGAACTCATTTTGGAAATTCAATTTTTTTTAATAAAAACCCACTCCAATAAGACATTTTGAAAATAGATTCTTAATTTTCCTTCCGAATTTAATTTTAGATTTCTAATAAATATTTCCTTTCTTGAATGTTTTTTATTCTTCCAGGTCAAAAGTTTGCCATGTTGGAGCTGAAATGTTCCCTGTCATACCTCCTGCGCAATTTCGAATTTTTACCAGTCAAAGACTTCAAACCCAATGCCTTGCCCGAATTAGTTACGAAAAGTGGAAATGGTATCAAAATTAGGATAAAATCCCGTGGCAATTGATTTTTTTAGCTTTTAATTAGGCGTAATTTTAAGTTTTATTAAAAAAATAATAATTATGTAAATATTGAAAAATTTTCCTTAATTAAAATTAAAAGATTGTGTTTTTATACCCTGCAAGGCTATGTGTTGGGGGTATTTTAATTCCAAAAATTAGGTAACACTTTGGTTTCCAACATAGGAAAGTACATGTGGATCTTCCTATCTTGCCGAACTGAGTCGATCTAGCTATGAATGTCCGTTCGTCCGTCTGTCCATGTTAATTTGTAATCATGCTACAGGTCGCAATTATGGGCCGATCCTCATGAAATTGAAAATGGAGGTGGGGCTAGAGCCAGAATAGAAGCCTATTGCATTTGGAGATGATCGCAAATTATTTACGGGTTGAAGTGGACCAAAAAATGTAAAATTTCTAGATTTTTCAGTTGCTCTAGAAGGCCAAAAAGTTTTCTCTCAAAAGTCCCCAAAGTCTCCCCATAGACCAGGAGAAGGTAATTTTTAGGAAACAAAAAGGTTCACTTTAAAAAGATCAGAAGGTCTTTTTTTAGGATACCTTAAGGTATCATTTTATAGGTTTATGAGGTGTTATTTTATAAGCGCAAGATTTTTTTCAGAAGACCAAAAGGTCTTCTTTAAGAGGACCAAAAGGTCTCCTTTTAAACCACAATAAATTCTTCTTTTGAACTACAAGAAGTTCTTTTAAACGACAAAAAGTTATTCTTTTAAAAGGTCAGAAGGTCTTCCTTAAGGAGGCAAGAAAGTCTTCTTTTATAAGACAAAAAGGTCTTCTTTTAGAGTACCAGATGCTTTTGAAAGATCTATAGGCCAGAATGTCTTCTTTTTATAAGACCAGAAAGTCTATTAAAGGATACTAGAAACTATTCTTCTGGAAGACCAGAAGATCTCCCTCACAGGGGACTATAACGTTTTTTTTTTTGGAAGATCTTCACATCAAAGACTAGAAAGTCTTCTTTTAGAAGGGCAGAAGATTTTCTTTAAAAAGACTAGAAGTCCTACTTTTAGAAAACCAGAAGAAGGTCTTCCCATAGAAGACCAAAAGAGGATATTCGCAGAAAAGACCAGATGTAGATGGCGATAGTAAATATTATATAATATAGTATATATATATAGCGAAATATATACAATGTGTATAAACAAAGGAAAGTGATGTTAGCTAGAATGCTTATATCTCAAAAATGGCTGGACCGATTTTGACAAATTTTGTCAATTCAGAATGCCCTCTTGGCATGTAAGAATAACTGGCTTGGTTATGCTGATTTCGTTGACGAATATAGCCAAATATTGTAGACAAGCAAATTATATAGATGAGCCTAAATTTGAAGATACAGAGGGGCCTCTAGCTTTTGAAGGTGATCGGGGTTTAGGGGTTGAAATGAACCAAAAAACAGAAAAATTTTCCTGATCACACAATTGAAGAGAGTTAAGAACGGCGAAGACATCTAGCATTTTGGATGACCATTGTACTATACTTAGCTGTAGATGGACCACAACAATTAATACCACGACGAAGTGCGTAAATATTGGGCAAATGCACCTTGTTAAAAAAGCTAAGGGTAATATCTGGGCAATACTCTATGATACAAATCAAAAGCGAAATCTTCTATAATGGATTTGGGCATAAGGGGGCTTATCGTAGTGTTGTAGGGTATCACATGGTCGGCCCAGCACGACTATAGCCTTTACTTGCTTGTTTATAAATCGGACAGAAAAAATGTGTGACATTACTACTCTGGACATTGTTTGATCATTGATGCCTTCATATATCTTCAGTCCATGACCAATTTTGGATTGCAATTTTGGAGAGGATTTACAAAACCTCTGTGGTATATAAGGCTTTGGGAGTTAAATTAAGTTGGCAGTGATCCCTCCTTGATCCTGCCTTAACAGTGAAAAAAAAAACAATGAAATTTGAAAATCTGGAGCAAATTCACATGAGACTTGATTTTGCTGGAAGAAATGTTATTATGAATTTTGACCGTTTGATTGGGAGGTGCCGGAAAAATTAGGCCAATTGAAGCCAATTACAGGGTGCGAATTTTTAATCAAGTCGGATACAACCATCGCTTGATTTACGTTTGTCCTTTTTCGAACTCGATCTGAGTTTGATAAAAATAACGAATTACCAATTTTTTTACAAAACCGATACTCCCTTCGAGAGTTGCCATGCGCTCCAGAACGGCCGACAACTAATCTGGGCACATAGACTTCGAAACGGATTTTGTCCGCAGAGACATGGGATGTTAAACTATTTCGATGAGGCGCATGTTGTACAGCATATATTGTTATATACTGTCTATAGCGATAAGGCTCAAGCAATGCCAAAAGCAAACTGTTATAATTAGGTAATTCTCATCTGGTACGAATCCACAGTATACTCTCAGGCGCGAAAGTAAAAAATTCAAGCATATGATGATATATATTCTACCTCATGAAAACTAAAAAAATGTTAAAAAAAAGTTCCAAAGCCCTTCCCATAGACCACTAGAAGGTCATTTTTATGAACACCGAAAGGTATTTTTTAAGAAGACCAAAAAGTCTTCTTCTTCTTTTAGAAGATCAGAAAATCTTATCTTAAAAGATTCGAAGGTCTATTTTATAGGACCAGAAATCTACTTTCGAAAAATCACAATATCTCCTTTTAGAAGACCAGAAGGTCTTCTTTTGAAGACCAGAAGGTCTGCATTTGGGAGACCAAATGGTATTTCTTAACGAGACTAGAAGGAGACCAAAAGATCTTCTTTTTGAAGACCATAAGGTCTACTTTAAGAAGACTGAAAAGTCTTTTTTAGCGGACCAGAAGCAGATTTTCTCATATTCCTCTTAGACGAATCAAAAGTCTTCTCACAAGGCCCTTCTCATAGAAAACAAGAAGGTCTTCTCATAGACCCGAGGAAAGTCCTGTCATAAAATATCAAAAAGTCTTTTTCTAGAAGACCACAGGGTCATCTAATAGAACAGACGGTCTTCTCAATATGGTTTTCTTATAGAAGACCAGAAGGTCTTCGTTTTGAAGACCATAAGGTCGACTTTAAGAAGGCTGGAAAGTCTTTTTTAGAGGACCAGAAGAATATCTTCTCATATTCCTCTTAGAAGGCCCAAAAATCAATGCACAAGGTCCTTCTCTAAGAATACAAGAAGGTTTTCTCATAGAGGCTCTTTCCATTGGCCCATGGAAAGTCCTGTCGTAAAATATCAAAAAGTCTTTTTCTAGAAGACCACAAGGTCAGAAGACCACAAGGTCATCTAAAAGAACAGACGGTCTTCTCCATATGGTTTTCTTATAGAAGACCAGAAAGTCATTTTTTGGAATGCCGGGAGGTGTTCTTTTCGGAGACCGGAATGTATTCACGTACAAGATCTGAACTCTGCTCATAGAAGAAACGAAGGTCCTCTCATAAAAGACTAGAATGTCCTCTTCAAAGAGACTTCTAATAGAAGACCCGAAAGTCCTCTCAAAGGAAAACCGTAGGTCATTTCATATAAGATTAAAAGGACATTTCAATTAAGACTCGAAGGCTTCTCAGAAGGCCAGAAGGTTTTTCCATAGAAGACAAGAAAACTTCTAATAGTAGGCCAGAAGGACCCTCATAGAAGAAATAGAAAAACCCGAGGGTCTTCTCATAAAAGAAACAAAGGTCCTCTCATAAAAGAATAGAATGTCGTCTTTAAAGAGACTCATAATAGAAGACCCGAAGGTCTACCCAAAGAAGACCCGAAAGTACTCTCAAGGGAGACCCGTAGGTCTTTTTATAGAAAATCTGAAGATCTTCTCATAGAGGATTAGAAGGACATTTCAATTATGATTCGAAGGCTTCTCAGAAGGCCAGAAAAACTACCCATAGAAGACAAGTAGACCAGAAGGCCTCTCATAGAAGTCCAGTAGTAGGTGTTGTCATAGAAGACCCGCAGGTCTCACAGAGAAAACCGTAGGGTCTTCCCATAAAAGAAACGAAGGGCCACAAGGTAGCCCCAAAGGTACAGACCGCCTTTCACAGAAGACCAGACGGTTTTTCATAGAAGACCAAAAGGTCTTATCATAGAAGACCAGAAGGTCTTATCATAGAGGACAAGAAGGTCTTATCATAGAGGACCAAAAGGTGTTATCTTAGAAGATAAATTTTGGTCATAAATGGCCCAAAATTTTCCTATAGAGGACCAACGCTTTTTTTAGAAGACCATGGAGAAACCCTTCTCTTCATGGAAGAAGGTCTTCTCATATATGGCCAGATAATCAGTCAGAAGTCCAAGGGGTTTTCTCATGAAAGGCCAAAAAGTATTCTCATGGAAGGCTAAAAGGTATTCTAATTAAAAAAATCTCATAGAGGACTGCAAAATCTTCTTATAGAACGCCAATAGGTCTTCTTTTAAAAGCCGGAAAGTCTTCTTATTCGAGGCCTAAATATCTTTTCATAGAATTAAAAAGGTCGTCTCATAAAAGGCCAAAAAATCTTCTTTAAGATGGAGAAAGGTCCCATAGATGGACATAGGTCTTCTCCTAAAGGACCAAACGGTTTATCTTTAAGACCAGAAGTCCCCTCCTAGAAGACCGGAAGATCTACTCATAAAAGACCAGAAGGTTTTCTCATAGAAGGTCTTCTCATCTCATAGTGTCGGCTTAAAAAAATGAAAATTTTTTGAACAGACACAAAAAATAGATCCCTAGAACCAAATGATGTATGAACACATTTCACCTCCACTGTGTTCACAGATCAAAGAATTACTTTTATGAATATCAAAAACACTTGAATCATTTTTTTTATCAACGCAAGAACAGACTTCTCACGTGTTCTTTTTGAAGAGATATTTCTAAGTGAGACTGTGGGAATTCCAGCAAAAAATAATTACTTTTGAAGGTTCCAACCGATTTGGTTACTTATATTTGTCATAAAAATATTTCGCATCTTGACTGTATAAATGACCAGCCTCCATGTTTTCTTATCATGGTATAGTCTAATAATTTAACATACACACAAACATATATTTGAATATGATTTTTAAATGTTATCTTCGCCAATA